TTTACATTATTTCCCTATAAATTTATTTATTTATTCAGAAGTTCAATCACAATATATTGCTTAAAGACTATTCAACGATTATGAATATATTCGGATTATGTTTTGTTTATACAGTTGTGTGTGCAATAATAGAATTGACAATAAATCCGTTGTATTTTAGCGGTTGGACGGCCGACAACTATTAGAGCCACGTTCGGTGAACATCTACTTCGGCTCCAATTGGGGTTGCTGCATGGTCTCTCTTGGACATACGCGGTAAATTTCACTCAACACCGTATACAGATTATATTTCGTACATAAATATAAGATAACGTAAAACGGCAGTGACAGGAGGAATCTTTTCGCAGGGCGGTAGCGCAGGTATCGTGTGACATACAACAACCGAAGACGTCTCGTCCCAACGAGGGCATGATACGCATAAACGTCGAGCTCACTCCGCTGGCGGCGCAGCACTTCGAAAGTGGTAGACAATCCGAGGCGGCCATACTTATCAGTAGGCAGCTGGAGAAATGTTTTAAGGATTCAAAGTGCGTAGACCTGGAATCTCTCTGTATTGTAGCGGATAAGAAGGTTACTAGACAACACTTAGCGTCATCAAATGTTGCGCAGTGATGCGTTTGTACGTATTGAGACTCACGCGTCCCTTCATTCAGGTGTGGAATCTGAGAATCGACGTCAATATCATAAACCACGATGGGAATCTGGTGGATTGCGCCTCTATCGCAACGCTCGCCGCTCTTATGCACTTTCATAGGCCAGACGTCACGTCCACTGGCGAGGAGGTCATCGTACATCCTGCCTCCGAGAAAGATTTCCTGCCGTTGACGTTGTTCCACTATCCGGTCTGCGTATCGTTCATAACTTACAAGAGGTCGGTTGGGCAAAAGTCGAATTTATTTACGTGAGACGGGAGCGGATCCTTTTCTCGCTTGAAAAATCCGCCGGCGAGAATTCAGCGATTCTCGGTCTCAGTACGCGCGAATGATACGAGATTATATTTCACAGTGGTAACACCATAATGGACCCGACTTACACGGAAGAAAGAGTCGGTGTCGCTGAGCTTACCCTCGGCGTAAACTCTTACAGAGAACTTTGTAGCTTGCACTTCGATTATTTAACGAAGACCATGACGATCGAGGATGTCATATCCGAGGTTTCTGATCACGCGGCCAGTTACGCGACAAAACTGGTGCAGCAGATCAAGGAGGCGGTAATCAAGGACGCGCAGTCACGGTACATTACGTTTTATGTTGCTCGCGAAACGGCATCTTATTTTTATCGTATATCGATGTAATTTTAACACATTATTTGTTAATAGAGAAAATGTGATAAATAATCTAAATATTCATGAGCGATCTTTAATAAGTTTATATAGAGGTACTGATCTTTTAAGAGTTAATACGGCATTCTTAAAAAAGAACCACTCTGCAGGTACAAAAAAGATGACGGCAAATTATCTAGATTTAAAGAGAGTATTGAAGTGAACAAGCTGACGACAACGATTAGCGAGCACATTGCTATTAAATTACGTAAATGGGACGCAACAGCTATAGTCGATGGTATATATTTCATTCAATTGTTTCCTGTTTGATATGTGTGTATTAAATTTCTTACAAGTCGACGAGTAAATTAACAAAGCTTAAATTTTTTTAATTAGAATTAGCATTTATTAAAGAATCGAAGATCAGTTTCATTTTAATTATTTGTGGTACATAAAATACAGTAAACCATTTAATTTTACAGATGATTTCATGGAAGTAGAGGATGAAGACGAGAGCCATATCATAAAATACGAAGAAGGGGCAGCTGACTTGATACCCGTAAGTGCAAAGAAGAAAACGTATTGCTACATAATTTCCTTAGTGTCTTCGATCTTGCATAAATTAGTAACAATAATTGTAGTAGTAGTAATTTCTTAATGTTCTTGCAGGACTCGCTTAAAAAAGAAGAAACTATTACGTACGACTCTGATTGGGACGAAATTGTCGTCCAATCGCCATCTCCGGGAAAAGAAGAGATAGTGATAGACTTAATAGACAGTGACTAGATTCATTCAAAAGTATATAATGAATTTGGAAGGTCAATTGGTTCAGATGTCAATCTAGTGTTTATTCCACGACCCTTGTACATTTCTCCAAAATCACGCACCAATTGCCTTGATCATAGTACACCTTGTTGATGACGGCGGCTGGTATTTCTGTACACAATTTCGCGAGCTCGTATTCCCGAAATACGTGATAATATCTCAGAAATTTTTCGCCGCTCTTCATTTTCCAGGGAACCAGCATGTCACTGTGAGTGAAGTTCGTCCTGTTTTCGTGTATCGGTAATGTTAAACGACACTCGGAGGTTCTCTCGTGATTGATTCCGCTTCGGTCGATCTTGCCCGTCTCCTTGCTTCTTTTGCCGGACTTGAGATAGGCCGAATCCATGGAATTCTTGCGTTGCTCCATCGCCCACACGTAGATCAAGCATCTCCCCCGTGGCCTCAGAACTCGAATCATCTCGGAGATGGCGCGTTGCCTTCGCTCCTGAGTGGACAGATGATGAATAACTGCAATGCTGATCACCGCGTCCACGGAATCGTCTCTGTACGGCAGATACAGGCAATCGCACTGAAGGACCTCGAAGCCTCGCTTGTGACAAATATCCATCAATCCGGAGCTGCGATCGCATCCCATCTAAAATAACACTTGAGATTAATAATCGTTCGGCTCGACAAGGTGTCATCCGAACCAAACTAAATTTCAGGCATGCGCATTCAGTCTCATCTCCAGCCCGTGTATTTTTATTAAACATCTGGAATAATTTAGATAGTAGAAAGTACCTTGTATACATTTCGACCTCCGCAAAGGTACTTGCCGTTTCCGCAACCTACGTCCAACAACAGCGTGCCCTCTTCCAAGCTCTCCAGGAATTTGATTACGTTGGGCCATTGTTTGTATCGTGTCTCGTTGAAGTGACTAGCTATCTCCTCGTAAACCTGCGAGGGCGCAGTTTCAGTAACAAAGAAGTAAAATATTCGCAAACTTGGAGGGACAATCCACGCACCCTGTGTACATACGAACTTTCCAATCCCAACCCCCTGTCGATATGGACAAGAGTATCACATTTCGCGGTATCGCAGTAATCTTTGAAGTCACAGTGGCAGTCGCCTCGTCGCACTTTCCTGAAAGTGAAGGACACCCGGGTACCACGTTCTTGTGTTGTGCTCCCATTTTTCGTCTCGATTACGTCACTGCGACGAGGGCAGATGCCGTGGGCCCACGCGTATCTCGCCTCTCCCCCCATAATCAACAGAGACCTGGCTGGCAGGAGGACATCGATCTTCCGATCCTTCTTAAAGTTCATGACGCACGCGGATCCGAGTGACAGAGATAATATCGTATCCTCGAAGACACTATGCGTGTCAATGTGCGAAGGTATACCTTGAATAATTAAGAGTACATTATAATACAGTTTACTATCCAAGTCGGTCCATAAATGTATGCATATTTATTAGACTAATCGTCGTTAGTTTTCAATAAATAAATAAAAGGTTGCTCTTTAAAACGTAAACTTAAATGAATTGCAGACATTAATCTTCAGAGTAGGTTTTTCACGGTTTTTTTTTCGAATTGGAACTTTCATATATGCATGCATTATAGACTTACACTATGAAGAATAAATAGCCCTTCTGGAGCTTAAAAATAGACTTTCTGTCCAAAGGTTAATGTCAATATATAATTAAGAAACTAGAATGTTTAATGAAACATAATTTTGTGGAGACTTCGAGGTCCCAGCTACCTTGTCCAGGCAGGTACTTGTTGATGGTCAACTGATCATAAGTATATTTGTGACCGTGCTTGTCGAATAAGGTCTGGAGAAATTTGTAGCTCTGGGGAATCGGCGCGATAGGTTTGTCGATATCCACCATGTTCGTGCCATACTCGAACTCGTACCCGAAATGCTTTACTTGTCTGTGTTTCAGTTGCGACGAGGCGGATTCTGCAACAGCGGTGAAAAACACTCTCCTCTCAACTCCTTTCCTTTAATCGCGTCGTTTAATCATATCGCAAGTTTACCACCTTCGTCCCAAGTGAGCGTCTCCAACAGACTTTCCGCTTGCTCCTCCGTTATAAAATTCTCCATCAACGTAAGCCCAGGGGGGAATGCAGAATCCGTCGCAACGTCGTCCACGGTGGACACTGAAGGGAAAGCATCACATCGTTACACAAAGGATTCTGAATAAAGACCCGAACACAATGCCGGGCAACAGGCAATCAGGAATAACACGGCGACAGAAGTAACCCAGTTCCAAAGTAGAAAATATGTACCAAAGTATAATGGAATTATAGAATAGGCAAAAGGCAATAGAATCAGTATCAGTCTCCTAGCCCTGATGATGCAAACTGCAATGTTTGCGAAACGCGGCAACCATGCGGAGGCCATTACTGAAGAATGGACTGAAGAATAGGATTTTCGATGAGTCGGAAATCCTGTTCCCACTAGGCCTGCTCCGTGTTTCCTGTTCCTATTGCCTGGCATTGTGCGACAGGCTTCGTAATCAACGTTGCATCAATTCTATCGCGACAATACACCTGTTTCAGTATAGCATACATATAACGGGCCATTTTGGCCGGGAAGCTTAATGCGCCCGTGAATGTAATTGTATACGCAGGTCGCGTCCTCCCTCGAATTGCACGTCACGAAGCAGTAAGACTTGCCCGCCGGCATTATCAGAGTGTACTTGGAGATCAGGGCGTCCAGCACGCACTGCAACGTCTCCCTCTTGATACCGGTAACCAGGCCGCCGTTGCATATCATCAGGTGCTGCGTGGAACATGAAGTTTAACAATCGTCGAAACAGAGCTGCGCTCGGAAACATCATCCAAGTGCTATCATTTTGTCCATGTTTCACATTGAACGAATAACAAGGATAAAATGATACCCGAGGGTGAAGTTTCCGCATGTAGCATAGAACTGTATATTCTGGTGTACCAGGTGTTTACCTGCGTAGGCAGCTCGGCACATTTAATGTTCATATCCTTGAGCAGTCTGTGATGCGCTCGTTTCTGTTTGCGTACGCTCTTCCTGTCGTTCCTCTCTTGGATCGCGACACTCGTCTCGTCACTCCAAGACATAGTTTACAACGTTTAAATGCCTCGAGAAGAAGGGGATCTTGTCGCACCCGTGCCGCCTCATCGGCCCTGCGAAGGGGAAAGTTGATTATCCTAATAGGTGTCCGAGGACCCTCGCAATACTTTTCTACCCGACTAACGCGATTTGTTTATCTCACTTGCAGGGGAAAATTGTAAACAAATTATTAACCAACTGAACATCTGTCATATTAATTTTCTCGGGTTCCTCATTCGCGCGCGCGGTACGCAATAAGCGGGAAAGCGCAACTAAAGAGGATCCTTTTACGCACCACGTCGCTCTCCTTTACAATCCGTTTAAATAAACTTTCGCGCAACATAACCTAAAGCGACATAACCTCTACGCGGCTACGGCATAGAGCACGAGGCTAAGCGAGTAGAGAGACGCGCGTTGAAACGCGACCACCTCTCCCTCCCCCTACCGGAGAAGTGCGCAAACGTTACGAAGCGCGCGCGCGGCGCGGCAATTCATAGCTGCTTTCGCGAGAAGATCAAAATGATCCGGATTAAAATGACCCTGTGCTATTCGGAGAACTGAACGAATTCCAAATTGTCTGCCTGGGCTGCTTTCGCGAGAAGATCAAAATAATCCTGATTAAAATCATGGTGTAAAGACACAAGGTGAAACATTGCGCATGTAACCAATTGTTGGGGCAAATTGTTGATTGGCTCTTCCTGCATTCAACCGCGATGCTTTGCCGTTGGAAGGTCGGAGCAAATTTCTGATCGGTCAATTCGGTAGTTTGGGCCACTTCTGATTGATTGACGCCGCGCACCCACCAGACTGCTTCACCTTGGGTGTTTTCGCGACGTAGATCAAAATGATCCGGATCAAAATGATCCGTGCTATGATTGGTCAAATCTGAAATTTCGTAGCATCTCATTGAAATTTTATTCAATGAAATTCCAGATTTGACCAATCATAGCACGGATCATTTTGATCCGGATCATTTTGATCTACGTCGCGAAAGCACCCCTTGTATCTTTACACCATGATTAAAATGACCCTGTGCTATGATTGGTCAAATCTGAAATTTCGTAGCATCACATAGAAATTTTATTCAATGAAATTCCAGACTTGACCAATCATAACACAGGGTCATTTTAATCCGGATCAATTTGATCCTCTCGCGAAAGCAGCCCATGCTCTGTTCGCGCAGAATCAGCAAGACTTCCTATTGGGCGGCGCCATTTTGTGGACACAAGTCACGTGCACCAATCACCTGGAGTCCCAAGTTGTCCAGTCTCTGGCAATTCCTCCCTCGCCCCATAACCTCTCCCGACCTAACCGTAGCTGACTCGCGCGCGCGTCGCGCGAGATTGAATCGTGTGGGTTTGCGAACGGCGCGACCGTTACGGTCCTTCGGCTCCCCGGCACGAGAGGCGAGTAGACTGTGAAACTGACAAAAGCGCGGCGCCATATTGCGAGCTTGTGTTTGGTTAGCGTTTCTGGCGCGTGGTGAAGAAGTTTGTTGTAATTTAATTGAATAACGATGTCCGACAATCAGGTAAGCAGCCCCGGTACGGGCGAGCCGGCGTCCCCGCGATCCCGCCGCGCCGCGGCCGCGGCCGCGGGCCGCGGCCGGCGGCCGATCGTCCGGGGAAACCGCCGGGAACGTCCCGTACCGATCTCCGCCGAGAGTTTGAACTAGCGCCTCTAACCTTGCCGCGTGTGTGCCACTAGGAACAGAAACCCGAAGCCGGCCCGGGCGACGCGAATTCAGAGTACATCAAGCTCAAAGTCGTCGGAAACGTAAGCGATCCGCACCGGAGGAACGTCCTCGTGCGAATATGCGCGCGCGCGCGCACGTCAGACATATAAAATTTCGTTTCTTTTTTTTCCGTTCCAGGACAGCAACGAAATTCACTTTAGGGTAAAGATGACCACTCAGATGGGCAAGCTGAAGAAGTCCTACAGTGATCGCGTGGTAGGTTTCCCTGCCCTGCGTTTGTTATCTCTCGCTCGGTGTGCCACGTGTGTGATTTTGGAGGAAGTAGCGCCCTGAGATCACAACGGAGAGACGGATTATGAAACGAGCACCGCGTCTCGATGGCTGCGTTCGGCAGAAAAAAAAACAACCGTTCTCCAACCGTTGCAAGATTCGTGAATCCGATTGGCGTACGCTCTTCAATTCGCTCGAGAGAATACGTCGATCGGATTCTCCAATTTTACAACAGTTGCGAAGCAGCTTTTTCAGCTGAACGCGGCCGGTGAGATCTTGAGACGTAGGTTTCAAGAGGTTGACCAGGCGTGGTCGATTGCGAGGGAAATAAGCTGCGATTGGTCGTTTTCAGAGGAAACACTAATGTTAATTACTGCTGGCGACGTTTAAGAATATTCTTATTAGTGTATTAATTATTGACAACTATGTACCAGACGAAATAACTATTTAATTTTAACTTTGCGCTGATGAAAGTTAAAATTACGCACTGAGCCGAAACGCGACCGCTGATTTATATTTCAACTGTGACATCTTTGAAATTAAAAATATATATTGCTTTGTCAACTTTCATACTCATTGAGCTGATGAAAGTTAGACTGTGTTGGTAGAAACGGGAATTGGAAAGAGATAATGAATTAAACTGAGATTAAAGTTAAGCGATGTTGGTGAAGCTGGGCCTAAGGGTGTCGTGTAAACGCAATCATTGAAGGCACCATGTAAGTTTTAATGCTGAAGGCCCGTTTTCTGAGACCTCTTTTAACAATAAAAGCGCCTCTAAAAGAGACCACTAAGCGTTCTGATAGGCTACAAGCCACTTTTAGGGACGCTTTGATTGATAAAAGAGGGTTCAGAAACGGGCTCTCGAATTTCGAGAATTGTTGATCTTCATTTGACGACGATCTTGCAATTTTCGAGTGTAAATTATTGTTTTCAGTTTGCGGCGCAATCCGCGAAGTATCTGCACTAAATTGTTAAGTGTTTCATTCCGGCAATACATCAAATACATTTATGCTTCACGCAGTAACGATCTTTTTTTTTGTTTAGGGTGTACCTATGACATCGCTTAGGTTTCTCTTTGACGGTAAAAGAATCAACGACGATGAAACACCAAAGCAGGTAAATTGATTTTTCGACCTGCCATTTGGAGAATCGGCGGGAGAATAAATTGAATTTCAGTTTGTCGAGGATCTTCTAATTGGCCAGAAATTTATTGTATAAACATTTTTGTAAAGTATCTAATAATATTTTGAGCCATGAATTAGGGAATATTTTCTATATTACATATAAAAGAAAGCATTTATCTAAATAATTATTTATTAATGTACTTTTAACTGAAAGGTTTTTGAAAGATTCTTAAAGATCTGCATTAATTTCAGCTGGAAATGGAAAATGACGACGTCATCGAAGTATATCAAGAGCAAACAGGTGGTCGTTAACTAAGTTAGGAAGAGGAGGATCATTTCGTTCTAATATTTTATAAAGTGAAAGTGACTATTCTAACAAAGAAAAAAACAAAAAGATGGACAAGTTTATAAGTATGCATACACACACAAATACACATACGTACACACACACACACATATATACACGTACATACAGATAATTAAACAATATGTAATTTCCTGATTTCACATACGATATCGTATAAAATGTGTTGTCTTACATTCCTGTACCGAGGCGAATCGTTATCCGGGGAGATTGGACCACGAATCCCCGGATCGTTTTGTAAAACGCGCGTGCGGGCAGTCGTGTCGTAATATTGCATACTGTGTGTCCGTTTCCGTGTGTGTCGTCAGGGCAATTCTTCAGAAATAGAATAATTATTAACGCCATTATAAATACATTTGGCATTTCGCAATGCTCCCTGCCCATTCGAAACTTGTCCCCAGAGATCTCGGGTTTTTTTTTCCAAATTTTTCTTTTCTGCTCCTTTTTATGAATACAGAAAACGATGTGTATATGATATAACGAAAATTGTTACGTTTAAGGTACACTAAAAGTAGTAATTGTAAAACGCGCGCTTTCGAAGAACTGCAACCGAGCAGCTTCCATCGCGTTTGCGCCTGGGAGTATTCATAATTGGCATAAATCATTTCATTCTCTTAGATAATCTAGCAATATTTTTAATTTTTACTAACCGTAATACATGCACTTTTGAACATAATAATAATGATAAATATAAATGTTCTCCAGAGAAATACGTTCGCAGATAGTTTTTCCCCCAACCGTAATGTTGCTTATCTTTGCAATAAAAATACCAAATTTATATGTATAAACGTATGATATAAAACTCATGTATCTCAAATTTATAAAATAAAATATCAAGAGAAAGGTGAAAAATTTGTGTGAAATTTTTTACTTTCAATGGAGAATACGGAACAAGCGGCGATTTATTGAACCGTTTGCTTCTTCCGTATCATGGTAGTCGGGAGGGTGTCGAATTCGAGATACATTTCACATATGGATTTATTTGCATATGGACATTCCAAAGAGTGGTCTTCGAAATAGTCACGTATATACATATATATGTATATATATTGATCTGAAAATTCGCTCTCTCAATTTAAGAAGTAAATAATGCTATTTCCTGATGGACGGAAGAAACAGTGAGACAACATTCTGGATAGAATTGCTTTTATTTATACATTGATCATAGTCGACAGTTATAATAATTCATTAGCTCGCAGGTCTTTCTTTCAAATTATACGTATTGTATCATAGATTCTTACATTATAAGCACAATTCCTAAAAATAATTATGTAGCTATATACAAGTTATTTTATTTCGAGCATTGACTAAGAATGCAATACGTAGCGAGCTGTTATTGTTACATATGTACAATACGAAAGTGCACAGGAGGAGACATTTACCCTAGAACAAATTTCATTTCGTAAACATATTTAAAACACGTAAGAAATTCGCAGGTGTATGGTGAAATTCTAGATTTATATACAGAACAGCCCACAATTTGCAATTTTAATTTTAATGATAGATTTTTCAGAGTTTCTAATTTGTTAATATATCTTTTCGCAATCTCAAGATTAAATTCACAAGTGTTAAAATCGTCGATTTTAACACTTATGAATTTAATCTCGATTTTCTTAAAATTACACGATATTAAGTAAATAAACGGAAATTAATTGATTAAAATTAAAGGAAGATAAAGTTCATATTTAATGTTGAAAACAGCTGAAAAATTATTAACTTAATTTCTAATTTAAATTTATCGTATTCATTTAGCTTCCTGAATATTTAATTCAGGAAAGTTAGAGATACCATTTTTGATTAAAATTTATTCAAAGTTGATCAAAGGTTCTGCCACTAAAATTAAAGGCACAAGTTGTGAAATACTGTATATACATATACTATTACTGCTCCCCAAAAATATCCGATATACAAATTGCTCCGCAACAAGCGGTATGCTGCAAATCGACGTCGCATTCAACTATGTATACATTATTGATATAACAAGAGATGTTATCCAATGACACAAATTAAAAGTCGATGTGCATGTTCGATTTCCGATGCTATAGATCATAAATTATATAAGAAAATAGTTACTCTTATATGTATTAAATTTAACAACACGTTTATGTGATAAATTTATAACATTTTTATACAATATTAAATTTAATAATGAACAATTTTAATGTCCAACAATTTAATAACTATAATAATAACAAATGTATATTTCTATTTATGTTTTTGAGTATTTTATTTATATTAACTAAAAACAAATGTAACATTTAATTATATTAAAACGTATCGATTGAGCAGGACATGATGTCTCTGCCTATAAATGTGATGTGAAAATTATGTGATGTACCTAATATATTATGCGTTTACATATTTATAACCATTAATATAATCTGTGAAAATGAAACATATATTAGTGAACACAGGAATTATATATTTTACACGTCTATGGCATCGGATAATCCAAACTCTACGTAATATCTACGTAATTTCGTGTGACTTCAGATTAATCTAATTTTCAACCTTCTAATTTTGTAATAAATCGAAGTTTTGCGATTCTGAAACGAGAAGCCATTAATTTGTCCATCATGTTCCAATCGACATTAATGTTCTCGATGCATCTTTTGTTTTCATTTCAGATAACCAAGTCGTACGGAAAGAATTAAAAATTTGACTTCGTTTTATAAATATCTGTGGAACATCTCCAGCGAAGTATAACAAAAAATGAGCAAATCTGAAATTACTTCTGTTATTCAAATGAATGGTTTTTTTCCCCACTCAAAGCAATACACAAGTTTTCCCTTATCTCTCTCTTTCCGATTATTATCACTTACATATCATTCTCTCCTAAAAGGTACAAACACTACATACTAGATAAGTACTTCTGTTTCGTTATTACGATGTAATTCATATGCTTACGTGCATATATGTATATATGTATATGTATATATACAGGGTATCTCATTTTAATTTTTTCCTATAACCATCTCCGAAATTGGTGGTTATTGTACAAAAATATTTAAGGATCAAAATTGCTCCCTCTTTTCCATACGGGTATATAATTCCCGAAAGAAAAATGCGTAACTTAAACATAAACTTTTCTTTTCAATAACCGTTAATTTCGAAAACAATTACACAGAAAAATTAAAATAAAACCTCTATGTATATACTTATAAATAAAATGTACAGATTTTTCTTTAATTTGAGAGCATACACAATTTCTACAGATCTAGCACGTATTATTCAAGTCATTACGCACAACTATATGAACAAAATTGATTTCCTCCCCCCAGACGTTCTTCCATCTTAATACTTTCATTCATCGTTTATGTCTACTACTTACTCGCGATTGCATAATAAATATATAATATCCGTTAAGGACGTTCTATCTTCCTTAGTCTCTAAAGCGCATGGACATTACTGCGAAAGGACGAGGCATTTTTGTGTGAGAATAAATTGTGGGAGTCGCGGGAACGAGAGAGAGAGAAAGGAAGGGAGGGAGTCTTCTTCGTTTCTGAGATTAGGAGCGACGAGCGGCATGCGACAGCATCGTGATGGGTCACAGAGCGTCGCGATGCCACACCCACGTTTTCTTCGTATGGTCGAATCTGTGTGCCAGCCATTGCTGCTCCAGAAGCTGATACCTGTCCTGGCTGAGGTACAGAGGCTTGCCACGTCTACAAGATTATGTATAGTAGTAAATAATACAATATTAAATAATAGTGTCTAATTAAATAACTTATTGTAACTCGTCAGGAAAGAAATTTTAATGCTTAAGCAAATTCTTGTTTTTAATATGTTTAATATGAAAATTAGAATGGCGAATACTTAACGCTTACTCGTATATTATTACTCACATTATTCTATATCTCTTGCAACAAATCGTACTCACTTTAGGTCTCTATCTTCTTCCTCAAAGTCGTCGAGATACAGAGATCCCCATAAACACGCTCGCCGACCGCGTATCACGATAATATACGTCGAGGTCACTACAAGATAGATGCCAGTTCCACCTCCGCAGTCGATTGAGTGCTAGACGTATAAACAAATCGTAAGAATCGAAAAATTTTTTAGTAGTCCGATATTCGCAGAGACGACACCCCCCTATGTTCTCTCGTGCGTATAAATTGCGCTCACCTGAATAGCTTCGCACACATTCATCTGTTTGCAGCAGTTTTGTTTGAGGCAGACAATGGTGCCGCACAACAAGCAGATGCTGATTTCCTGCGGTACAGAATGACACTGGCTGCACTGTCGCTCGTGATAATACTGAAAGAAATTAATATAGGAGTATAAAAATAGTGTGCAAATAATAGCAATATATAAATATAACAGCATACGAATAACTTTTACAATGTTTAGATTAAGATACGTTTAGATTATATTTTATAACAATTATCAAGTTTATCTGCAACCATTTTCCTTTTTTCTTGTCTTACAATTAGTCGAATTAATGAGCTTGCAATATCTCTTTAAACGCAACGAGCGTAATATATTTTAATTATTGGATCTTACCGTGAAGATCTTTTCATATTCCCTTGGAAGACTAAGTAGCTTCGGCACGTGCCACGATATGTGCTGCTCCATTATCAGGTTCCGGGCCGGCTGGTGGCTTCGCCAATTGGCGAGAAACGCGATCAACTGATCGCACCAGAAGAGAGGCATCGAAACGCTTGCTTCTGGTTCTTGCCAATTTAGCGCTACCGTTGAATCGAAGCTGTCCCAGCTCATGCCTTCCGTGACTAGCTCCAAGTAATACACCAGTCTCACAAACTCGCTCTGTGACGTTCTGATCAGCGGCAGCGGCTGCTCGTACAAGTGATAACGCAGCAATGCGGCCACTCGCAGAAACGGCAGGCACAATGATTGGATCTGAACGAACACCAATCAAATAGAAATAATGAAAATATATACCTGCGATGTCCTGTAAAAGAATCACAATACATTTGAGATATTTTTAGTATCATAAAGCGGTCCGTTTTTCTTAGAAGTAATCAACTTGTGCTTACGCCATGCAAATTTTATATCTCCTTCTAAAATTTGTCATTACCTTAGGTGTATAAAACGTAACCAATTATTTTACAGAGTGGTAACTTTAATTGCTTAGATAAAAGTTGCATTATATTTATAGAACGTACTTGTTGCTCGACGCAGTGCGACTTCACCCTGATATAATTGGGAGAGGCTGAAGTGGATGGTTTGTCGTCGTCTGTGCCGGGATAGAGTCCACTTTCGCTGAAGTACTCGATAATCTCGCCCAGTTTGTTCTGCGAGGGCGTGACGGTGCAGTTGCGTTTCCATTTTAAGATCGCATTTCGCTCTGCTCGGGAGAAGTTACAGCTTACCTGTAGTATTACTTGATAGTACAGCAAGTTGTAAAGGACCTTTACCACGCCGGAAAAATATGCTACGAAGAAAGGGGAATATTAATTCATTCATTACACACATACGATTAATGAATATTTTCGATATACGCCACTTAATTTATTCCGACGTAAAGTGTAAGGAAAAAAGTCTTTGAGACGTGCGTACTTTGGTCCAAATGCAACGGCAACACCAGTATGAATTGAATGAGCATGGCGGTCGGATCTCGTAGAAGCAAAGGAACCTGCCTCTCGTGCGGTGTCAAGGCGAGCGAGGACGCCGATTCATCCATCAGCGATATGCCAGATAGTTGTTGCCATACATGATGCACTGGCCATGTGGTCAGTACCCGAGCGTGCATCGCCAAAACGTGAAGAAGCGCGACTGAAAGAATAATACAGACTTTTTCTTCCGGCCGAAATCTTCAAATTACAGATTAATATCAAGAATGCACTAACTACTACGTTATTGCGTACAGCAAATAAATTAGAAGGCAGAACAGGATAGATTGGTTGATAAATCGGAGTCAAGAAATACAAACGTACCTATGCAATCGCGTTTAGGCGTCAGAGGTATCGTAGTAGGCGGTGGAACGCACAATGAACCGCCGCGTTGTACAAGTTCAATCTCAAAGTTAGTTCGAGCTACCGAGGTTACAAAAAGGAACAAGCTTTGGTGACTAGGTTTACAGTTCTTTTGTTTATACTTTAGATACGTGCAACTCGTCATATCTTCCATGGCCTTTCCCATCGCCACAGCCAGATTCGAAGAGACCTGGAAACGACAAATACATTCAGCGAGTACATCTTTGGTATATTGTGAATAATTAAAAATGTAAATAAAAAAATCGCTAAAAAGACGGGAGGGAGAAGCCCGCTATTATACGTACAGGATTTCGTTGTATCTCTTTGAGAAAAGTGTTCAGATCCGAGAGTATAGTCTCCGTGGAAGCATGACGAGATCGCACCATCGCCGAGCACTCGCCCAATTGCGGCGACAGCGGCAAAACAGAGTTGGCTAATTGCCGGCACAACGGGCACAGATACTCGCCCCGTTCCACCGCTAGATTTTGCTGCCGCTGCTGACTACGAAGGGACTCTAGGTAGGATTTCAAACAGTCCAGATGCAGATGATGTCCGCACGTTTGCACATGGACACCACCCTCCCATCCCAGATTAACCGAGACCAGCCAAGACAACTGCGAAACAAAAAATATTAATTAAGACATAATATTTTTTCCTGCCTGCCTCTTTGTCTGTTTCTAAAGAGTATCTTCTTACTAAACATTTAATATCAATTTACCTCGTTGCTCCAGTCTCAATACACTACAAGTACAAAGCTAAAATAAGATATTTCTGGCATTTTTCAAACTAACGCTTCAAATTATTTTGAAAAATGTGCATAAAACAAGCTTCCTTTTTTTGCTGTTAGATTGAGCAAATTTTGTTAGTCACCCCATACGTATTCATTTATTTCTTCAAAGCCAAGAATTTGGGTCGATTCATATTTTTTTGTGTCCATTGCAAATTTATTCTGCCAAAAATGGTGTTGTGTAAACAGTAATATCAGAAATTGAGATAAATTTAGCAGATCCAATTCCGTGTGTGTTGTACAGCGGTGTGTGGGTTCAGCGGTCAAATTATACTTCTAGAACGTCGCCGTATGGCATACAATGTGTTAGTTACAACAGAAAATACAGAACAATGGAAGAAAGGATTTTTGTAAGGAAAAGAAAATATAACACTGTAAGTATAGTATTCACTCACTGTATCGAATAAATGATTCATCTCGTCCATTCTGCGGTCGAAATAGGCGCCTCGGGTATCTCTTCTCGGTATAGGCGGATCTTCGTCGGACGTGGGAAGAACTAGCCTATCCGGTTGTTGTCGCTCGTGGCCGATAATGCTAGTTGCCTACATCGAGAAAACGCGTACATATATAACAAGCAAGTACGCATGCAAAGTGCTTTTCGTGCGACAAGAGATAAGAATATTACTTGAACTAATACAACGAGTCCCATCGGTTTGTCCTCACTACTGGGAGTAGTTTGATTACATATCACACAGTCGTACTCCTTTTTACTGGTCAGTTTAGTCTCACTCGGCTCTTGATCCCAATCCATTCCGGATGCACCTGCTTCCTCTGTAAAAACGAAAAAAACGTGATTTCATTAATATATTAACTGAGTGACTGAGTACGATAAGTTTCCAATTCACACGTCTGTAGAATAAAATATTGCAAATATTACAACTTTAGAAATATTTGCAATAATTTGTGCATACACACGCACACAAACACAAAATGTATAAGTTACCGGTCTTCATCGCTTTCTCCATAAATTGCTTCTGCTTGTTGGCAAACTCCGCCATCAGCTTCTGCTGCCTCTCCTTCGCCCTTCTCCGTCGTTCCTCCCGCTCACGATTCTCCCTTTCCCGCTGTTCATCCTCCTCGCACTCCTGCATACGGGGCCACAATTTGTTTCTAGTCTCGACGATCGTCTGTTTACACATAGGATCTAATTCCGCTATTTTCCTAAGTAGCTGCGATATGAAGAATGGTCCATCGCCGATTCGCGATTCACTAGGCAATGATGAGGTGGAAGAATTGCTACTGCTGCTGTTATCACTAGTGCTGCTGCTACTGCTGCTGCTGCTGCTGCTGCTGCTACTGCAGCTGCTGCTACTGGCTTCGTTGTCCGACATTGCGTTTTGTTCGGGATTGTAGCTGTCTGGTACGCCCGATAATTGAGAATGCAGCTTTAACAGTAAGGAGATTATGCTCTCTCCCACTTTTACGGATTGTGGTTGCATTGGTACACCCTAGAAAATTAATTTTACATGAATATTTTATAGCAATGAGCTAAATTAAGCTACTAAATGTATCAAGACATATACAATAAGAAATATGAAGACTGTAAGATATTGTTAGAGGTAGTGTCTTGTATTACTTGTGGCTCTCTTCTTTTGAAATGTTTGTGAGGATTCGATGTGGATGGAACGATTTCTGTAGCCCTATAATTAACAGGTTGCGCGGTGACTATTTCGTTTCCGGCCATAACCGCTGGGCGTTGTGGAGCGGGTGGTAATGCTGGCTGACCACCGACTACATCTAATTATTAACAACATCGTAAATTAAACAGAATACTTTATCGTTACATATTATATAGAAGCTTTGATGTACAATTTAATTTAATTAAGTATAGCAAAAAATTTGAAAGAAAAAGGAGATATTCCAACGAGAATGACTTTTTTCGTGCTGCCTTCGTTACGTCAGTGATAAACTCTGTGATAAACAAAAATTATGGGTTTGAAAAACGTACTATTTGGTGAAGGAGGCGATTCAATTGCTAGAGCCATTGATTCCTCCCCGGATGGTGGCAGAGCTCTTTGCAGAGGTAACATTATGTCATCCTCACTGTTACTACGAGCTATGGCGACGATTCCGTCTTCAGGTACAATTGCTACATCATATTCCACTATAATATTTTAGAATATATTATATTTTATGAATTATTTGTAAGAAAAGTAAGCAATATTAAGCAAAGGAAAGATAACCGACGTTGCCATATACACAATCTACGCAAAAATCTTGCTAACCACTTGTTGACGGTAATGCTGGCAGAGACGTAGCGCTCTCGACTGACGGTAGTAAAGCCGGCAAGGATGATGCACTCGCGCTAGACACGCCATTGTCATCTCTAACGGGGCCTACTAACGGGGAAAATCCTAACAGTTCCAAAGATACTGCCTCCGCGCCATCATCCGCTGCGTCATTCAACATCAGGGATGTAGCCACCTCGCTCATGTCTCCTTGAATCTCCCACTCAAATTCGCCTAATCATTATTAGATAAATTAGCAAGTGCGTCAAATCATACCAGATATACTAGATATAATCATACTAAATTATTATACATTAATATATCGATTCCATCATTTTATAATACACTCAGTCCCAAAAAAGCGTACGCTAGAAATTTAAGAGGAATGTACCAAATTTCAAGTGATCGTAACTTGGTAAAATGAAGATAAAAATAAATACAAAAATGGAAAATGAAGGAAGCTCCGTAGGTCCACTACAAGAATATTTGAATTATGCTCGGCCATTTTGTTCAAAATGACGAACGATAAAGTGAGAGGATGCAAAATTGATAACCGGAGGTCCGAGTTTTCGACGGTGCATGGCGTGAATCAGGCGCAGCCTAATTTGACGAAGTGCATATGAAAGTATAGAGCGTTAGCTTTTAAGTGCTTGTTTGACGCGCTCGATACGATCATTTTTCGCAGAGTTATGCACATTTAAAGAAAGAAATTTGTTCTTACTTTTTTCTTTAGATGTGCATAGCTCCGCAAAAAATGATCGTTTCGAGCTCAGCAAGCAAGCATTTTAAGCTAACACTCTATACTTCCGTTCAGACTGAGTGTATATTATTACATTGGGTGCGCTCGGGAGCTCACTATCAGCGTTACTTAGCGCTGAAAACGTTATTCTATCTTTATTGCTCATTATGCGTCGAAGAAAGATAGAACGACGCTTTTAGCGCTAAGCAGCGAGCTCTCGAACGCGCCCATTGTGTTTTCACTTTTTTCCTCAGTATTTTCAAACTAAATAAATCGATTATATTTAAAAAAAAAGACAATAGAAATGTGATAAATCTATAACGTGCACTCACTGTCTGAGCTGCTAGGCTCCGACTCTTGGACTAGAATCACTCGAGGTATCACTGTCCTCAGATTTTCGGACAAGCTATCGCTTTCGTACCATCCAGCCAAATCCATGTCCTTTATTACACGAGAGGTGCCACCAGTGTATTGGCATAAAGGACTTACCTGAAAATGATTTATATGACTGAGTAAAATAATAAAGATGCAATAGATTTAAATGTACGTGTACTGTAAAAGAGCACTAAAAGACAAACGAATAAGATAAAACGCGTAACTGACAAACTATTGTATTTATACAAAATAACTTACGTGTAAGGAAAAGAATAAACTCGACATAAGCGTAAACGTCAATTGGTAAATAAATCACTTACGGATTTATCTGGCGGTTCTGCAGTAATAACTGCCATCTCCAGAAGATAAATAGCCAATGCTATAACATGTTCGGATATGTTATACCCATTCACAGCCTTATAGAGTATTATCAGGATCATAGTGTGAAAAACTCTGGAACGTAAGACTATACGAGGATCATCATAGTCCGACGAAACCGGAGCCGGTTGCCTAAATGGTGGCCAGGGAGTCGCACCGTTTTTCAGCTTACCCGATTGTTTCACGCTGCGGTAGAAAAGTACAATATTTGTAGAATGGAACACTTTAAGATAGATGCATTTAGCACACATGAGAGTAAAACCTGATACGTACTATTCTGTGAAACGATCCATAGATACTTGAAAGTCTCTTCTATGGACTGCTCTCAACAGCACATGTAAAGGATCGAACAACTCGTCCCACACGCAAGACTTTGGTCCGTACATACCTTGCTGCATATTGCCACTCGCTTCAAGATTCGGAGCTCTATATTGCGCTACCTATAGACACATTATGCCGTTAAGTAATACAGAATCAATAACGTCATTTAAAATTTGCCTATACATATACAGGGTGAGGAAAAAGTATGAAAACCCCTAAATTTTTCAAAAACTATGCATTTTAGAAAAATTTAGAAAGATTTCCATACTTTTTCCTCACCCTGTATACATGTGCATATCGAATACAAAAAATTGTATAATGATTAAGAAGTAACGTAAAATTTGTACACCACAATGAAAATTAGAAATTAAGATGAACACGATATGTCAACGTACTTCGGCTAGAACGGATTCAAAGTCCCTGTTCTGGGTGGTTCCGCAGCGTTCTGGCATTAATTCCATCAATTGACTATGCGTCTTATCACTCATACACAATAAAGTCACCATTTCGAGGCGAGACATTTCAGGATCCGATAAACCTGATACGAGAAACATGTAAACGTATTAATATCGTATGCTTGCATCAATGATCCTATTTTCAGGATTGCAAAGCTGTGGGATTATACATTTTTTATTAAGAGAGGTGTGTGTGCGTGTAAAAAAAAGGGCGATTTTTAAGAGAACTGCGTTAGAACCGATAGAAACTTACCGAGATTTGTTCTGACGTTGACCAACGTAGCCAAGAATGTTAGGCAGCTTTCCAACATCGGGGTATCATGTTCGCCCTCGAGATACTCATTTTGCGGAGCATGATACAGGCTCAAACTCATCCATTCCCTCACGTGAAATCTGTATTAACATTTTTTTTTTTAACAAGACTGCATTACAGAATCGATATAAAAGAAAAGAAATAAACGACAAACGAGGAGAAGAGGATATTACTTTTCGATGACGGTTTTCAGAAAGACGTCCGGCAGTAATTTCGTGGCGCAGATTTGCAGCAGGTACAGATCCGCGTCCACCATGGAGTTGCAGAAGTTACACTGTATATAGGTCATCGCTTGGCCCTTTATTTGCAGCCCATTGCGAACCCACAGTCCATTCAGAATCTCATAGAAGGCCACCTGAAGGCAGAAATGGACAACAGAGAATGTTAGTTATTGTATTGCGAGATCAACGTCAATGATAAAATATTATCTTTCACTTGACGCTTTGCTTCTTTCCAGACCAATTAATATAACCGATACAACTGATGTAACGGATGAAGGAATAAATAGGATCTAAGTGATTCACGGAAGTTTATCTAATGTAACATATTATCACACACCAATCGCATGGGTGCAGCGATTGCTAGAAACAGCAACTCATAAAGCCGTCGAACGAAATATCTAGCCGACCTTCATTCATCTCTAGATCAACGTCACTGAATTGCGTTTGCAAAGCGCAATTTCTGATGAAAGATATAAATTTAATCTCTTTGTATCTGGAGTGATATACAACATTGAAGCCGACCGTACACAAGCTTACGTAAGAACGCGTCATATAACAATCTTATGTAAACATATGAATTAAATGAAATGTAAAACTCCGAGGCCCGTTTTACAGTAGATTTACCTGCGACTGAGTGATTTGTAAAATGTATTGGCAATTCTTTTCTTGACTCTTTTTTACCTAATGAATGTAATATTAATAAATTACATTGTATATTACATATACTACGTACGATCGGTAAAAAAAACTGAACTGTTTGATGAAACGAGTCGGGACTTAATTCTACAAATGCTTGTAAAGTCCCGACTCGTTTCATCAAACAGCGTTCATCAAACATTTCTATGAACTCTAGAAACGTTCATAGCAACTTTCAATGTAACGTATGGCATCGGTTGTGCCAATTTGTATCAATATTTCATTCCAAGAGCTTTTCAAATGACACATTTACGTACTCAAAAATATAATACAATATCAGTATACAGGGTAGGCCATTTTAATCCGTACACGGTAATATCTCCTCAGGTAGGGGCGATTGCGGAAAATGCCTCAGACTCAAAAGTTGTTGGGTTTCGACGGAGGGACATAAGATGGTGTCATTAATTTAACCTTGGACAGTTGCCTGAAGGTCACGTGAAAGTCACCTTGAATCTTTTATTCGCGCCAAATAGCAATGTGAGTCAAAAACTAATGTACATAAGACCTAAGAATATTCCATGTTCATGTCATTGCATTTCGAGCGGGAGGCATCGGCCAGTCCTCGCGTTACGCTCCCGGACGTTTTTCACGCATAGCAGCCTTGCGCGTTATTTTCCTCGCGACTGAACTTGCACACCTGCTCTCCTTCCTCTTCTCTTCGACGTACAATTTATATGCTCATTTCATTTCAGGCAGGCGGACAGCACAGCCGCCAACGAACAGACCTGCAGCGGGAACAGTGCGCCGAAGGTCGGCGCGGGTGATCGGATTCGCTGCGAAAGGCCCACCGTCAGCGGCGGAACCTTTCTCGTCGAAACTGCAGGGACACATACGCGTGTTCGCACCGCGGCGAGAAGAGTGAAGGCGAAGGAACGAAGGAGAAACGAACAGACCCAGAACTCCATTGATAGTCCACCGCGAGTGCAATACCCCCCTTCCATTCACATCGCCCGTTGCCATTCTCTTCGCCCATAACGGTCGTCCCGTCCCGAGCCGAGCTCGCGGCGGCGGAATCGTTAGTCCCGGCGTGTTAGCGTCGCCACTCGCAGAGGCGGTGACGAGTGCGTGCGCGCGATCCTCACCGACATCTTGGTGATTCGGTGACAGAGCCTCAGTAGAGACTCTCTATCCCCGTCGTCGCACCCGTGCCGCGCTTTCTCCTACCAAATGGCCAGGTACTGTCTAGTCCTGCTGGTCGTCCTGGCGGGCGCCAGCTGCGCCCTTGGTTTAGACGTGTCCGAGGCGTTCGATCTGGTCAGGCTGGGTCGCAAAGTCGTGGTACAAACACTGGAGTCCCTGGACGTGATGGACGCGAAGCGCTTCAGCGAGAAGCTGCCTGGCGAGGACGCCGTGTTCCTCAAGGTGATGGAACGCGAGTTGCTGCAGCGGATGGGTCAGATCTCCCAGCAGATCGACGAGTACCAGACGCGGATGGAGGACAAGGCCGACGCGATCCTGACGAAGCTGCTGCTGCAGCTGCCCATGCAGGGCCGGCTCGACGACAGCCTGAGGGACCTGGACAACTACCTCGGCCAGGTGCAGGGGCTGTACCAGCTCTTTGAGCTGTACGCGAACAACTCGGACAAGTACGAGACGTTCACGATGCTGCAGTTCGCCAAGACCTGCGTGTCACCGCGGCTGGGCGAGCTGCCGGACGTTCTCAAGTCGATACACAGGCTCATGGTGTCGTCCGGTCAACAGGTGTACAACAGGAGCGTCCTCGTGCTCCTGGCTAATCAGATGGCGGTAGGTACTTGGCGTGTGGCGCGCGACAACGGTCTCTGAAGACGTTGTTGGTCAGCGCTTGGACGAGAATGTTTCCAAATAGTTTTTCTCCAGTCAGGTATCTTCCCCGTGAAAGAATTGATGATGTTGATTCGCTGATTTCAGGGTGCATTTTGTTCTGTGTGTTTTTTTTTTAGTTTCTACGGAAACGCCATGGACTAGACTTCACTAGACTGTCATTTGGCATATTTTGTTCTGAGAAAGAGAGAGAGAGATATATATATATACAGAGATTATCACCGGTATCGGTGTCAGCTTAAAAGGGTTTTTACCTGAAAACGAAATTTTAGAGTGCAGTCAGTCTGACTTTGCGTGGATACTTTTTAAGAGCAACGTTGGGTACTCTGTTAATACACTAAACAAATACCTATCTATAAACGTGGCTTGAGGGCCACTTGGGTATTTCTCGGAGAAAATAGTTCCTGGAATGAATGAATAAATGAATGAATGATTCATATCGCTCGCTACGTTTCGTTCTTCGGGGGACAATTAAACTTTCATAATACCGCAATACTGTGTCATCTCTACGAATTTAACGTGTCTTAACAGTTTGAGTTACCGGTTCACGCAGTTCCTTTTCGGCTTGATTTTTCTTTTTTTCCATTGATTCGAGGAAGAAACATATGCGTAAATTCTGCCCGCGCAGAAGAATTGCAAGTCGATTGACCATTCGCGTGGCCTTTCAACCAATCGACTTTCAACTTTTCTGCGAGGGCAGAATCTTCGCGTATACTTTTCCCTTCCGAATAAATTCAAGAGTCGAACTCCAGGTGAGGACCGTGCATGTCACAATAAAACAAATAATTACCGCTCGTCGAGCGTTAAAAATAATCGCAGACATGAATCACGTTTAACAAGTAAAAAATACCACCCGCTTTTACGTCAGTCACTTATTAATCTTATTAGTTTATTTAATTATATAATTATTATATAATATTATATAAGTTACACGTATTGTATAATACTATTAATTTATTACATGTATTGTCGAATTTATCATATCACGAGACACGGTAGTTCAATTTCTCGATTTCTCCTGCACATCCGCTTTATAGTCTGTCGTTTTCTAATTATTACCTACACGATTTAGGGCTTGTTTTACATGTTGCGCCGTTTGTTGTGTCTTTATCGCTCCGTTTATTATCTCTCGTGCAGCAAGTCGAAGGCGTGACAATTATCTATGCTCAGGCACGCGGGTGGACAAAGACTCGCGGAGAGTGTCTAAAGAACAGCGGGATAACGCGACAAACAGGAAGGACTATCATCCGCACGTTGTCAATGATCTTGCAACGGTTCAGACGAGTCACGTCATACGGTTGTAACGCAGAAAATTAGTCACGAGTCGTCGGCGGTAAGCGGAATTTAGATTTCAGGCGGCAAAGCCGGACGGAAAGCGAGAACGCATTCGACACGTTGAATTGACAAGCTCCCGAGGATCCCGTGTTACGAGCGAGCCGTAGTCTGATAACATCGTAACAGGAGCCCCGATCCTGTCTATTAAACGCGGGCGTTAGGTACCGAGAAGCGGTATCGCACTATGGATCGAGTGACCGCGTGGATCCGTCCATCGAGTCGGCTCGCAGAGTCGACTTCGCACCGCGCTATTATCCGCGGAAAGAAAAGGGAAATCGCGTCTACGGAAATTCGTCATTATCCGGATACCCTGGACACGCCACGGCAAATAACACGAATTGACGCGCCGAGCCCGTCCCGACTAAAGGCGCTGTGCGGCTTAATTGATGTCACCGGGAACGTATACGTAATTTAGCGCTCATTTCCAAATCGTCGAACTTGCAAAACACGCTACACTCGTCTTGAATATGGAAGAGGAAGGACTGCGGATGTGAATTCGACCGTGATTTCAAGTCCAAGTTGTCGGTAGTTCCTTTTAAACTTCATTTTACGAAAATGGCGGACTTGACGCGCATAGATTTTGATGCGGATTGGATAAACTTTAAAGTTTTGACCCGTCGTTTTTTATTTTTTATTTGAAGATCTAGAATCTTGAAACTTTGTAGAATAAACTCCAAGAGTTTAACTAAAGACTATATTGATTTTGGTCCTAATGGGGCAAACTTTAAAATTTTGACCCATTTTTTAAATTTTTCATTTAAAGAGCTAGAGCTTTGAAACTTTGTAGAATATTCCCCGAGAGTCTAACTAAAGATTATATTAATGAGGTAAACTTTTGACCCGCTATTTTTATTTGAAGAGCTAAAGCCTTGAAACTTTATAGAATAAT